TTTTCCTTACCTCTTGCTATGTGATGCCGTATGCGAGCCTGGGACTCTTACTCAGAAGGCCATCACCAGATGCAGTCCCTTGTCCTTGAACTTCTAGAATGGTGAGCCAAAATAAAATCTCTTTTCTTGATAAAATTACAAAGCCTCAGGCAATTCATTATAGTAATGCGAAATGGACTAATACAGACACCAAGATAATAAAAATAGGTCCAGACAGATAATATTGAATGTTAAATGATTGGGTTCAGTTCTTTGGATCAATTTTTGTGAAAGGTATAAGGTTTTTTTGTCTGGATACATTTTTTGTATGTGAATCTTTCACCTGTTCCAGAACTATTCAAGATTATATTGTCTCCATTATATTGTTTTTGTTCCATGGCCAAAAATCATAAGACTATACTTATGTGGATCTGTGTCTGGGTTCCTTGTTTTACTTTTTTGATTTATTTCTCTGTTCTATTTTGCCAATATGCCACATTGTCTTAATTACTATAACTTCATGGTAAGTCTTAAAGTATTATCAGACTTCTGACTTTGTTCATTAATGTGTTGACTACCTTAGATCATTTGTCCCTCCATATGTACTTTAGAATTAGTTTGTTCATACCCACAACATTCTGGTAGTTTGTCAGTGCTATAAATATATGTATACAGTGGGGAAAACATGACATTATTGATTCTATCCAGGAGTGTGAATATCTTCATTTATTTAGTTATTTGATTTCATTCATGATTTTTGCAGTTTTCCTCACATAGATCTTATTTATATTATGGTCAATATATACCTTAATTTATTTTGGGAGTACTAGAGTAAATAACATTGTATTTTTAATTACAAATTCCAATTGTCTATTGCTGGTATGTAGGAAAGCAATTGAGTTTTGTGTATTAACCTTGTATTCTACAATCATTCTATAATCATTTATTAATTCCTATAATATTTTTTCTTGACTCTTTCAGATTTTCTACATATATGATTATGTCATCTTTAAACAAATATAGATTTTTTCTTTCTTCTTTTCTATTCTGTATATATTTTATTTCCTTCTCCATTCCATTAGCAAAACTTAATAAGTTTTTTGAAAGTAGTAGGGAAATGGGATATCCTTTTCTTGTTCCCCATCTTAGTGAGAAAACTTCAGTTTCTCACCATTGAATATGATATTATCATCAGAATTCTGATAACATGAGGAAGTTCTCCATTATTTCTAGTTTACTGAAAGTTTTTTTTATCATAAATGAATGTTGGGTTTGTAAAATGTTTTTTCACATCTATTGATAGGATCATGTGATTTTTTTTTTTACTATTGTTTTATTCTGCTGGTGTAATGGATTTCATTACTTGATTTTCAGATGTTTAACTAGCCATCCATACCAGGGATAAATCTACTTGGTCGTAGTATATACCTACATATTTTTAAGTTCCATTTGCTAATATTTTGTTGAAGATTTTTACATGTGTTCATAGAGATATTAGTGTTTAGTTTTTTTTATTTGTAATTGCTTTCACTTTGATAGTAGGGTAATACTGGCCTCATTAAAATTGGTTTTTTGAAAATATTTTTTGCTTCTGTCCTATAAAAGAGACTATAGAGAATAGGTATAATTTGTTTCTTAGATGTTTAGTTAAATTACCAGTGAATTTGTCTGGACCTGGTACATTCTGTTTTGTAAGGTTTAACTATTGAACTTAACCAAATTTAAAGAGTTATTATCATAACGACTGCAGTCTTTAACCTCAATACAATCAAATTAGTAAACAACAAAAAGTAGTGAAAATATATGTGTTCACACAAGAGTGATTCCTTAATAGCAATAAAAATCATGAAATATGGAAAACTAAATGACAAAGTGTAATTTCTCAAATTTTTTGGATGTGCAATATTGGTATTTAAATCCTATTTTTAAAAAAGATGTAAATATAAGTAAATCAAGTGTTCAAATCAAGAAGCTAGAATTAAATAAGCTATTTAGCAAACATTTAAAAATAAGAAGGAAGAAAATGGTAAAGTAAGACAAAAATCTAAGAAAATGAAAAGGCAAAGAAACACTAAAGGCACAAACAAAAATTTGGCACTTTGATAAGACCCCCTTAGATGCCAAACATCAGGTAAGGTCTGTCAAGAATAAAACAACAACCAATAAGAAACTATTCTGCCCCCAAATAAATTCATCATACTAATGGCATACAAATAGCATCATCAAATTCATAATATAAACACATTTGATAAGCACAAGACTAATAATGGCTTTGCTTCAGAATTATGGAAAAAAATGAGTCTATTAGAAAAATTGTAAAGCACATAGACAATCAACCCAAAAGGGAAAAATTTACAAATACACACTTGTCTACTATAAAATGCAAAACACCATTTATCAAAATACACTACACTGCCACCAAAACAAAGTATAAAGACAGTTGACTGATTAGAGAAGGTATTTAATGCCCATAATAAAGAAGATTAGCATTTAGAATATATCAAGAACTTGAATCATCAAATAAAAGACAAAACTTACCATTACCAAATGGTAAACAATTCATAGAAGTGAGAATCTGAATGAATAGGCAATGAAATATGAGACAATAATTTCTTTCAGTAATCAAAAAATGGAAATTAAAACAATATGTGAAATAATTTTATATACATACATATGTATGTATATATGTTTGTATGTATATGTATCAGATTGCCAAAACATTTGACCTCTGGTATATCTCAGAGATAGAGTACTTGTCTAACATGAGTGAAGCCACAAGTTTAAACCACAGCAACACAAAAATTAATAAATAAAGCATTTAACAACACTAAATTATTTTTGCAATATATGAAATGGGAATTATAATTCCCTGATGTTGGAAGTATAAATTAGTAATACTACTTTAGGGAAAAATTTGGCAATATCTAATAGAATTGAAAGGTACACATGTGTGTAACACGCATATATAAAAATATTTATTCTCCTCTCTGGTAGTAATTCTATTCTAAAGCTTATTTACCATAGTACAAAAAATACCAATGGTAAATAAGAAATCAGAACCAACCCAATCCCCAACTGTCTATCTCTTGGAGAATACATCCATATAATGGAATGCAATTCAATGGTAAAATATGAACCAGAGCCACAGTGATAAATTTGCATAACTCATTAACAATGTGAATTGAAAAAATACTTAAAATTGTATCATTTGTGCAAAATTTTAACATTCACAAACAATACTAAATACTGTTTTATAGACATAGATTTGTAGTAAAATTACAAAATCAAAGTTGAAAAGTATTACACTAACTTCAGAAGAGTGATTATCCATATGGAAAAGAGTAGAGCATATTGATTAGTGGTAGATATGTTATGAAATTCTGTTGTATTGGTGGTATTTAATTTCTTAAGGAAAGTTAGTGAGGGCTAGGGATGCAGCTCAGAACTCTTGCCTAGCATGAATGAGACCTAGATTCAATTTTAGTACTTAAAAAAAGGCTTATGTAGCAAAATGTTAATTTTTAGAAAATGTTATGTTACTTCAAAGTATTTCATTTATTTATTTATTTTATATATTGAATTGCAATGTAATTGGACATAGTCAAGTGTTCATTTATTTGTTCACCCAGCCTACCACAAGAATTAGGTTGCTATGAAGGAAGCTAACTTAAATAATGTACCCATGCTACCAGTCTGAGTTGTTTTGTTTTGAATATGATCTAACATAATACACAATAGCAGAAGAAGCCATAAGTCCTACATTTCTCCTTGGAACTATGAAATTTTGGTTGTAAGAAATGTCATGTTGCTGGGTGTGATGGTGCATTCCTGAAATTACAACTACTCAGGAACACACTTTAAAGTTCAGCCTGGAAAATTTAGTGACACTCCATCTCAAAATAAACAAGGACTAGTTCAACGGTATAGCACCCCAGATTCAATCCTCAGTACTAAAAGATAGAGAAAGGAAAAAAGGTCATGTTACTAAAGAAAGGCATCCAACTGAAAAAAGAAAACTATTAATCAGTTTGTATAATTAAGAATCTAAATGTTTTAATCAATAATAAATAAAAATAACTTACTTAAATGGAGTTAAATCCATAAATTTACATATAGAAATAAATATCTAAAATGAATTCTTTAATTCTGTAGTTGATTTGTGGTATGAGTTTTCCCCCCCTCTCATTATTGCTCCATCACGCACATACTCTACTGTTATATTAGTTGAATCTGTTTATTGTAGCCTAAGAAAATGCTCTTGGCACAGTAGTGATTTTAGAGTTGTTTTTCCTTTTTCTTGGAAAACACATTGTTGCACAAGTAGTCATAAAAACAAAATGTCATTTTATTTAATAATACGATTATTTGTGCTCATGTGATACTATTAAGCAAATTAATTATATAGATAGAACATTCTACCACTGTTCTGTTTTCTGCTTTCATTCATGGCTATTGAGCCCAGGGGTGCTCTACCACTGAGCTACATCCCCAATTCTTTTTATTTTTATTTTGAGACAGCATTTCCCCAAGTTGTCCAGGCTGGTCTCGAACTTAAAATCCTCCAGCATCAGCCTCATAACTTGCTACAGTTACAAGCATAAAGGGCAAAGTTTCAAGTTTTAATTAAATGAGGATAAATCAGAAAATTCATATGGTTGTTCATGAGTAAACTAAACTGCAATGATTAAAATACCAAGAATTTAAATTTCACATCTTTAAAATTATACTTTTTCCCATTCTAACTATAATTTCTCAAAAAAGAGAAAGGAATCAAAATAATGCATCTAATTATTGATGCAGTGCTATTGAAATGAACTGAAACTTATTTTTAAGAGCAAGAAAATCAGCACAAAAAGAAGAATAGGAAAGTAAATACTAGCAAAGTACTTTTTACTTTAAGACAAAAGCAACTTAAAATATATTCACACTGCTTTCCTAGGTAAGAGGGGCAAAAGGAAGGTGAATATGTCTTTAAGTTTTTATCTACAGTTATCTAGAAAAACTTAAATCTTTCTTGGCAGGTTTAGATCCAGATAAACATCTTGGGAAAACGCTGGATGAGATGGAACCTTATCTCTTAGAGGTAAGAATATGCTACTTTTCAAAATATAGAATCATAAAGGAAGAAAAAAGAAGGGCTATGCATATGACTATAAAAATGATTTTTATTTTAGAAATATTTATTGCATGTCTTATGAAATTATACTTCTAATGAATATAAAAAAACGTTTAAAATTATGAAAATCATCTTTGCTTCAAACAAACAAACAAAAAACTAGGAGTGTTATCTATATTCTTTGTCATTACTTCCTGGTCTCAGATGTCTCATGTACCTGAAGTCTGAATTCTTTCACCTCTAAATGGATACAGCTCTAAGATGATCATGATCCTGTTTTATTAAACTCAGTAGACATTAATTTTTATTTGCCAGTTACAAGCACTCCTTGAAATGTTTCTATTCACCAAAATGATGCCACACTTCTCTAGTTTTCCTTCTTTTTTTTCTGGTCATTCTTCATCTCTTTTGCCAGTTGTTCATAGTAGATATTCCATTTTCACTCTATAAACTTTTTCTGGGTGATCACAGTTACTCACACAACTTTAATTATTAAGACTATTTTGATAATTCTTAAATCTTTCTAGCTCATATTTCTCTTCTATGCTCCAGTGCCTACAGAGACCACAAATTACATCCCTACATACTTGATTTGGCTTTTATATCATTGTTCTTTACCATTCCCTTTGTCTTCATCTTAATATGGATGCCTGTCACTTCAGACCTAAACTGACACCTCCAAATTTTCCTCTGCATTCTATTTTATATCCCAAATTTTGCCTCATGCCTCAAAACTAAATGAATGCCATTGTCTGCAGGCTAAATCAAAATCCTTTGGAGTCTTTCTTTCTCCCCTCCTATATGTGACACATAAACATGATCTTGTCCGCTCTGTCTCCAAATTATATTCAAAATTCAAGCATACCTTACTTTCTATACTGCTACCTCTACACCATAAGCATTTCTTGTCTGGCATATTACATCAGCCCCTAACAGGTCTACTTATTTCCACCATTGCCCTCTGTAATTCATTATTCATACAGATGCCAGAGTGACATTTTTAAAGTGTAAATCAAATTATACCACTGCTTTGTTTAAAATTTAAATGGGTTCTCTTTGAAGCTAGAGTAACAACTAAACTCCTATGAGATCACAACCTATGAGACCCTGTATCATCAGCATCCTATCAGTCTTTTCAGGCTTACCTTTTACTAGTTTCCATATTGTTCACTGAGCCGTTGCCACATATGCCTCTTTATTATTTCAGCACATTTACTACCATTTTTCTCCTTGAACTTTACCCTTCCTGGCATGTTTTCCTCAGACCATCACAAGGTTAGTATCCTTTTATAATTTGACAGCTCGAATATAGCCGCCTCAGAGAACCTCTTCCTAGCTGGCCAAGCTAGAGCAGTCTTTCCACATTATCTTATGTATCTTTATTGCCCTTCTTTGCTACACTAGAACATAAGCTCTAATGATCTTGCCAAGATTTTGGTAGGCATTAGTTCTTTAGTTTTTCATTCAGGTACTTGTTCATCTTTTCATCTATTTATTCATCCCATATTTAAATTATTTAGCATTTATTGAGGGTCTGTTAGGTGACAAATGCTGCAGACAGCACTAAGTATATGTGATGAATTAATCAATCATGATCCTTATTCTTGAAGCATTTACAATCTATTCTAGTTGTTTTCAGATCTAAAAATATAGTTCACTGGTGACATTATTAAAAATCATATACTCATTTAACCTCAAGAAATTTCAGTTCAGAAGGACAAAAGATGATGACCTTTACTCAAGCACTAGGTAATTCTGACACAGGGATTAAGTACAGTATATTATCTTCTAGTTTCTTAATACCACTGACACATTTAAGACCCCATACTTCTAGATTCCTCTGAAAGAATCTGTGCCCTCTTGAAACTATGATACTACTCACTTCTGAAGACTTTCTGAGTACTTATTTTCTTGTGGAGGCTTTTCATATAGAATCTATTTCTTATATGTATGGTTGCATCCCTAGCCTTCTTTCTGTGATGATCTTAAATATCTCAATGACTTCAACTGCCAACTTGAATCTTAGAACAATTAAATTTATGTTCCTCATCTATTTCCGGACCTAATTTCTCGACCAGTTTTAAATTCACCCAAATACTGAACTTCAACAACATAGAACTGAGTTCTACTTATCCTAACTTATCAGTGCCATTTTCTGGCAGTGAAGAGCTCCATTATCTACACAGTTGTCCACGTCAAAAAAAGTAAATAGTAATAAATGATTTCATATGCTCCTTTGTTGATAAATAAAGCCCTAAATCCTTTAATTTTGCCTTCTAAATGTCTCATTATCTGCCCCCTTTTATACTCAATTGTTAACCACAGTAGAGTCCCCTCTAGGTTATTGCAGCTAGATTCTAGCTTAAGTTTTTCTCCTATTTGTCTTTTCCTTTGTTGATTCATTATCCACAGTTCCACAACCACAATGCACAGGAAGTGCAAAGGTGATCTTATCACACTTTCCTTATAAATTTTTGAGTTGCTTCTCATTGCCTCAAAATAAAATGTTTAAACACCTTCCCTTGACTCATGTATCCTTTAGGAATATCAGGCTTGTAAGATGACAATCTACTACGTATATCCTGTGTTTCATCAATTTTGAACTACTGATGATTCTAATCCCCTTCTCTGAGCATTATCCCTCCTTTACTTAGCTAAATTCAGGATATCTTTAAAGTCTAAATTTATAATTCACTACTGTGAGACTTTTTTGCTTAAAAAACAACAACAAAAAATCCTTCTTGGAGTAGCAGTTTGTTCTTTTCTTTATAATATTTCTCATGGTATATCTTATTTTCTTCATAGTGTTTATTGTAAAATTAACATTTGTATTATATAAATAATAAACTCAAGACAAAAAAAAAATAATCTTCCAGTGATTCCAAGCACTCATGTTTTGTGTTTTCCCTAGAGTTACCTCTCTTTTCTATTCTAATGTGTTTCTTCAGAAACATTTTGGCATATGCAAATATATATGCATGTGTTTATCCATTTTTACCTAAATTGGCGCATACTATACATTTTTTTTCATTTTACATTATACCACGTACAAATCCATGACATTTGTTTATAGTCATTGTGTTCAATTACATGGATATGCTATAATCAAACCTATTTTTTATTAGTGGACATTATTCTTTATTGAGTTTAAATGTCTTTTGCTATTACAAATAATGCTGGAGTGAACATTATTGTACATATGTTTGGGGTCCATGTTGTATTTTTCTGTAGGATAAAATAGTAGAAGTGGAAATGCTGGGTCTGAGGTTATATATGTTTTAAATTTTAATAAATATTGAAGATATTTATTTCCATCTATGGTGGAATTACTTATATCAGACTAGCTTTCCCACAAACAACTAGAAAAGTTATATGAAAAATAACATTAGAAGGCATTAGAGAATTGCCATAACTGTAATAATTTGAAGGGCCAGATTTTCAAAGAAAGCAGAAGCTCAAACATCACCTATTTCCCCTTCAAAGTAATTTCTGATTCAGAAATAGTACAGAGATATTAAGAAGCTGAGGGGGAAACTCCAGCTGAGAAGATGAATAGGCATTCAGTTTCATAGGGAAAGGGAGACAAAAGTTAGCATTCAGAGCATCAGAAGTAATGGTAATCCTTCCCTTGTTTTTTTAGTTGAAACTACTGAATGGGCTATATGTTAGGAGTAGAGAGAAATCCAAAATAGTCTAGCTTTTGTAAATACTCGTATCTATCTTTAAAGTCATGTCAATTCTAGACTGATTTAAGGGATTGGGTTCTACTTTTATTACCTGTTTCTTCTGGGGAAAGATAATATAATTCAGAACTTCAAATTACCTCTAAAATATTTTGCTTACAATTTTCAATAGGCAATCAAAACTGCATAGTGTATCAGGAGACCTGATAAATTATCTGAAACTCAAGAGAAAAATAGACAATAGTGCCGAAGTCTGGCTTGGCACAAATCAGGAGCCACTTGTCAAAAGAAACTAACTTTATTTTTAGAACTACAAACGCCAAACAAAACAGCTCCTCAGGG